CAAATATTACTTAGTTCTGAAATCAAAGCTGGATGCTGCTCTGTAGAAAATCATTTGCATTTACCGCATGAAAAGAGGCTAAAATTTGAACAATGTGAGGACCTTTAGGCAAACTCCTACAAGTCCAAGGTCTTTATCTAATTTGTAGAGAAATTTAGATTAAGATAATGTTTGGAATTAACCTCTATTAAAGATGAGGAAAGGGCTTTGCCGAGATAGTTTGGCTCAAATAGAAGCAGACAGAGGGAAGTRTCTTCACTCAGCCCTCCTTGAAGAGGAGATAAGGATGCCATGGGGCCCACTCACACAAGGACACATAAAAGAGGATGACTCCTCTTGCTGCTCTCCCTGTCTCTATCAGAGCAGTTGTGTGATAGCTGAGATAGTGGTTGACCATCTCTACGGCTCATGCTGGGCTTCACAAGAAAGAGGAAGAGAGAGCTGCTTATTCGGTAAGTATGTGCACCAAAAATTGTGCCTGCAGCTTTCAAACTCTAGATAGCAGCTTTATGAGATTCCTCAGCACATGAAATCTGCCWGTGCCATTTTTAAATTGACAGGTGGTTTGAGCCATTGACCTCCCCTTTGATACTGACAGAGGCAAATTGCTATCAGCTCCTATCTGGCACTGTACAATGCTTAATGAAGAGCTCCTTCTACCTTGGGATTTCTTTTCCTTGAGAATGGTATAACATCTTTATAGCATGATGATAAGTAATACACACTTGCTGTGAGCATTCTGTCACTGCTTCATCACGGTACTTGAAAATGATTTGTGGTTCCATTTCATACTCTGGTACTTTTCAGGCACTATATGACTAAATCATAGTAGATTATTACGTCAATATATTTATATTGATGGAACCTGAAGAAACATTGATTTTACACCTTCTCCCATTCATTTGTTATGAACTCTGCACCCAGTTCCAGTGACTAGACAGATTCTAGGGGAGAGGTTTTGAAGGAAACAATGGCAGCAACTATCAGAACAGATGCTTATTGTTTTCATTAGTTACGGTGGCAACGACAAAGGGGAGTTCAAACAGAAGGCAGACCTACTCTGGCTAAAGAGAGCAGGATGGCATAAAGGAAAACAGACAGTGGTAAAACTGTCCATATTTCAACCTATTTATTGCCATTAAGTATGCTTTGATTATCATTATTGCAATGGTTCTAACTGGGGCTGACTAGTAATAAATAAATGTTAATTTAATGAGCAATAGAATGCTCCCCAAAGTCTACAAATGAAAGCTGTAATTTCATTAAGAGGAATCTTGTGACATAAGCCATGTCAGCAAAGCTCAAGTGATTTGTCAATGTCATAAGAATCTGGAGGTGGAATTGCATCTTTAACTTATGGATATTTCAGGGATCTATAACCAAAAATCTGTGGTACTCCAGAAAACCACAAGAGGTGCTGAGATGCTACAAACTAAACCATTATTGCTTAAACTTGTAAAAGGTAGCAATGTTGCTGGCAAGCAATAAAGAACTGTGTTAGTGTTGTTTAGAGAAGTGTTTTTAGCATAAAGACACCTGCAGCGTTTTTAAAACCCAGTTTCTTATTCATGCACTGCACCAGCCTGAGTGGCAGATGACTTGATGCCTGCAGTAAGAGGCAAGAAATTCAGAGATATTCCTGGTGCCAAMGTAATAAAACCACATTTCAACTGAAGAATGCAGTTTATTTCTTGCTGCTAGCTGTTGGGGTGAGCTTGTTCTCCTTGGAGACTGGCAGCTTCATGCTCAGAAATGCTGAACTCATGAATCAACTCACAGAGTTTACAAGCACCCAGAAACTTTATGTCTTGAAACTTTTTCTTGACTTTAWGGTCTCAAGAGCATCAGTAGTTAGACTGGTTCTAGTAAAAAAACCAAAACAACAATTTTATTTTTTTCAACTTTTACATGGAGACACATATGAGGGGTGATTTGCCAAGTTGGCATAATTATTGAGAAGAAATTTCCTTACAATCTGTGAGTTACACCTCTGGAAGAACGTGCCTCTGGGAAAGACCTCTCAAAACATGATAGGGTCTAACAACCTGACCTTCTAATGCAAAATAAATCTCGTTTGATGGGGTTAGTTGTCATTATATCCCACATTCCCCTCTCAGCCAAGACACCTGCTCCAGCAAAATGCTGTTCACTCATATTAATATACTGGTCCCAGAGAAGTATGGGAAACTTTGCCATGGGAGTCTTGTTCTCTGCTGTTTAAATAAAGGAGTTAGGTTTACAGGATATTAAAACACCAAGTGAATTTTTTAGTTAAGGGAATTATTTGGAAACATTTTACTACAAGAACACTAAAATCTAAACATTACATGTACTGTTGCCTAGGTAGTAACAACTGATAAAAACCTCAATCGAAAGAAGTAGAACAGCACTGAAGAGAATATAACCTTCGTGTTGTAAAAAATCTGTCAGGACAGTAACACTGCAGCTGCCTCAGTGCTAGAGCCTGTGCTAGAAGGTGAGCAGCACTGCCTACACCACTGCACAGGGCTTGCTGCTAACGAGACAATAAAGAACTTCTCTTGCAAATATACACTTTGAAAACACATGCAAAGTGCGATAYAGATAAAATACAGACATTTTCCCTGAATGAAATACAGACCAAATCAAAGCCTATCCAGTTCAGTATCCTATTTCCTACATATAGAAGGAAAATTAAATGACTCCTTGAAGGAGACCACAGTACACACAAGACTAAAATCAGCTGTGTATCCAGACCGTTATGAGTCCTGATTCTCCCATCTGGACTAAACTCAGGAAAATCTATTCTCTGAGGAGAATAAATGATCAATTTATTATTTATGGAGGGACAGAGGTGAACTGAGACATCCCAGAAGCTAATGGAAGAACTGTTGATATTCTACAGCTTATGTTGTTTGCGTCAGAGGAGAGAAAACGATGGTGCCACAAGAGGCTGAGCTCACACACTGACGCTCGGGTGTCTAACTGCAAAGACAACTCAGACAGATTTGCCTTGGCTGAGCTGTCTTCCCTTACAGAGGGAAAACCAGCTGTGTCCTTTYCCTGACAGTGAGGGAGAACTGTACAATGCACTGGGCAGCACGGCACTTGTGCCCCAATGAAAAGCATCTGATGCCTCAGCGCTGTTTGGGGGCCACTGAAGATAATACGCATCCATAAACAGTGATATGGGACTTTTGTTAAGATTATCCCAAATATGCAGACACTTGCTGTATCTTAACACTCAGAATGATAAAGGAGAAYAATTATTTTAGAATATGTCCCTTCATGCCTCCCTTCCCCAGYTGAGCATTATCCACATAATTTCTCCCTTTCGAGAGAGGAATCTCACAACTGATCCAAGACCAGCCTGACAGGATGTGCCTCAACTCCTTACACTGCTGGTGGAAGACAGTAGTTTGAAACAGAGACTGATGTGGCTTATACCAGCCTTTCCATTCAGAATATTCTRAATAAAGTCAATGTTTGAGCCCTTCTACAGAAAATCGACAGCTATGGCAGTACCAGACAAAAGGATGGAACTTAAAGAGGAAGGCTTTTGACAGATCTATTCTTAAATTGATCTATTATGTTATAAAATAGTTCTTAAAGCCCTGATTGTTTAGTTGCAATAACCTTCCTGCAGCTAAACCAGGAAAGAACAAAATTAGGATTATTAAAAAAAATAGTGCTGTTTTCAATAGGCCTAGAATTGAAGAACTGAAAATAAATACAACTTGAGWTAAATGTGGCAGAACATGGAAACAAAACAGACAAGACCTTTTCTCTCTCTTTTTTCCTCTCACAAGAATAGCAGCTTACTGGCACAGTTGATACACAGAGCAAATGTACACAAGGACAAGCACTTGAAGATGATCTTATTTATATTATAGTCACTGTTATGTACTGGTTCAAATTTAGTCTTGTTTGTGATTTAGGTACAATAGAGAGTGACAAGCATGCCCTAAAAGATGTATGAATAATATGACCTAATGTGTTTCCCTCTCTTTCTTTCTTTTAGATTCATAAAAGCACTGAAGTAATGAGTAAAACATTCCTATTCTCAGACAGATTTAAGTATATACTGAAAATTTATCATTGGTTTAAGTGCTGTATTAAGCAAGGATGGAATTACTCACATGCTTAAGATTAAGCTTATGTTGAATATTTTCTTTAAGTGGGACACAATTCTGAAGCTTTAATTTGGTAACACACTGCTTGTTATCCCCTTCATAGCTACAAGACTGAGCCCTGCAATTCTATTTATAAAGTCTCTTTTGTAACATTTCCAGTAAATTAGTGACTAATGGAGTTCCTTACAGCTACTACATACTGGATATTAGAGCCTTCAGGATGCAACAGAGCATCACAGAACTACGTGGATGAAGGTTACAATGAATGACAGAAATCTTGGATTAGATTGAGTTTTGGCTTATACTGAATAATTTTTTAAAACAGGCATAGACATAACATCCTCTTTTTTCCTTAGAGCTTGCGCCAAAAAAAATAGTAAGTTTGCAAATGGATATTAAGCAATGCCAGATATTTTCTGGGTTTGTTTTAACAAATTAACCCTTTGCATTCTTTTCTGATGTCCAAATAATTGTATTGGAAGCAGATGTTCTACCAAAATTTACATGATCAGAGACATTATGCTCACTTATTAACATACTGTTTAATATTCACTACAACCTGTTTTAAAGAACAACAGTGTGTTAACATTTAAGCCAGGAGGGATTTCTGTACACTATATAGTACTTGATGCAGCTTGTTTATGCAACAGTCTGACAGATACAATTAATCTCAGGAAAACGACCAGAGTACAGCATAATGGCATATTATTTTTGAGGTAATAGAACATACTTTCTCTTTGGAAATCAGAACTTAATTAAATCATATAACTTCCGGATGCAGAGAAAAGCTGTAAAAGAATGAAGCTTGTTCTGAAGGACAGAATGAAATGAATGAAAAATGGAATTAAATAGGATAATCTCCAAACAACAAAAAGAAGTAAGAAATACCTCCAACAAATGCATCTCCAGCTCCATTGGTATCCACAATTTCACTCTGATCACTCACCAACACAGGAAAAGTAGTCACTTCATTTTCTGTAGAGAAAGGGAAGAATAAAACATGAGTTACTTGGGAATTTGACTTTGAAATGCACAGCAAACAATGAAAATCAAAACAATTCAAAACTATGACCTTTAGCATGATAATTTGGGTAAAAATAGATTGGGTTTATAATTCTGTCTGTATTTACTGCATATGGGAACACATTCAAACAAACTCTAAGTTGTGGGCATTTTCATTATTTACTTCCAGCCTCATTTATTTTCTCAACCTCCTAGTACTAAGGACAAGAGAAAAAGAATATGGAAAAGAGCAAAAGAAAAAACATAAAKCAGAAGGAACAACATTAAACACCTGGGCATATGGACAAAGCTGAGAAAAATCCATCCTGCCAAAACCAGTGCTTTCTACAGGTCGAAGGAAGATGCTGTAACCTCCAGAATGGTCAATACAAGCCTCCAAAAGATCAACAGAAACTGCTGCATTGTTAAAACCAAAATACATGTGAATTAACTAAAATAAAGCTGTGAAATAAAAAGCAAAAACAAGCATAAATCAAAGTGCTTTCAAATCAAAGCTTTAAAAAAAATCCATGGATGTAAGAAGCYTTGCAAGTCGCCATCTGACTAGATTTGGTTTCAAGATTTCAATGGTTTCATCCTCTTCCTTAGTATTTATTTCAAAAACCCCAACTATTCCCTTCAGCTCCCTGCCCTCTACTGGCACTCATTAAATGTATTGCAATAGGTGGATACTCAGCATCTTCACCTCCAMCTCGCTGCCACACCATAGTTCAGCATAATTACACCACTTAGGTATGATAACTTTAGAGTTCTAGGGTTATAAATTTAATATATGCCACTAATTAATCAGCTATGGCTTTCCAGGTGGTAATGTCATAATGACGTGATAAAAATATAATTACCACCTTGTCACAATACCTTGTTAAAGTGTAAATTACCCCTGTAACAGAGCCAATGGAAGTTCTGCCTCTGGTAGTCAGCATGCATTAAACTGTCTCAGAGCAAACAGATTGTCCTTTGGCAGACAGCAGGAATTACAAAAAGGGGAGGGGGAAGAAAAGCCTGTCAACCAGTGAAAAGAAAAACCATCAGAGCTGTTTTCTGTTATTTTTTGGTAAAAATAGAAATAAAATGGAAAATAGAGCTTCCAGTAGCTGAAACCTGGAGATGAGTAGTTTCTTCACTGTCCRGCAACAGAGCAGATCATAAAAATCACTCTTACACTGACATACACAGTAGCAAACAAGGAAACCTAGTTTGGGAGGCATATAAAGAATTCACAGTCTCAAATCAGGCAAGTCTGTGTATGCTGCAGAGGTACCAGAAGGATCCTGGTTTCTGTGAAATGCAGTGTATCAGCTCTACTGCTCTTCACCATCTGCTACTAAGTGAACCAGGCAGATATAATGATGCTGCCTCCAGAGGGAACTGTTGGCTGGCCCACCAGGAGGGGAGGGGAGCATTAGCAACAACCATCCATGAGAGGCAAAGGAAAAAGGGTAATGAAAAACATAAGATGAATATTCCAATTAAAGAACAGGTTTCAGTCAGTTCTCAGTGCATCCTACTCTCTACCCTGTTAARAAAGCTATTTAGAAACGTGCTTCAATGCTGTGTTGTGCTCTTAAGATAGTCTTCAAGAGAAATGTTTTTTAGTAATTTTAACAGGATTCATTTGAATTGGAAATCAAGAAAGAGAGGTCTTACATTAAACTCTGCCAGACAAGCAGAGTGTATTCATCCATTTCACAAGAAGGTATATTGATTTGCTCTAGATAATACTAAAACAATGAACAGTGTGCTAAGTCTGTTGAAGACACATTGTAATAAACCAACCTGCTCCTTCCCAAGTGTGCATGGGCACACACAGATGTTCTACGTTAAATGCACAGCAGACAATTGCATATGCATACAAATGTCTGTGTTTGGGCACAGAGAGTGAATAATGCACATTGTATTTCGAAAGCTGTAAATGGGGTTTGGCATCAAAAAAGATTTTATTCACSTAAACTAACACGAGTGAAAGTTCTCACCATCATCTTTCTCCTTTCTTTTCCTCCTCTGTCTTGATTCCTTTCCTCAGCTCCCTCTAGTACATGCGGGTAAGTATTGCACTAGGAGCTTTTATTTTGTTCTTTCTGTACTAACTGAATTAGTCTAAAACCCCAAATACATCAAGAAAGTTGTCTGGTAAAGAATTTTTTT